GAGTGAGGTTAGGCATTTATCCTTATAGAGTCCTAATACACTTAAAGTCAGCTCTGCCCCTGTGGTCCTTTTCCCTTTGTTGATGAATGCATTGTGCAGGTACCTTGTATGGCCACCACAGCACTTGAGGTCATCCAATACTGTTAGCACAAATGGTGTGAACAGTAGTTTATATGCCACTTAACTCCTTGGGAGAAACGGTTAACCTTGCTAGAGAGGACAGATCAGTCATGTATAGTTATTAAGGTCTAGAAGGTTTTGTTATGCTCTAAAATACTTTTGTACAACCACAGTATACTTCTGTATGAGGCCTATTTTAGCAGGAAAGCAAAGGAAGGAGAAATCATCTTCGGGATTTTTACAGAATATGTACAATGAAAGAGGTGATGGAAGTTTCTCAAAGATCCATTTCATTAATGACACCTCTACCGCAGAGGTGGCAAACATTTTCCCCTTTAGAAATAGACTCTCTAAAAATATGTTAATGAATTAAGAATAAAGGCTTTGCAGATGTAAAAAAGCTTTTGAAAATTTTCAGCTTGCTAAGGAATTCAATCTGATCACTTTGTTTAAAGATTTCAGAATCATCTTATTATGTTTTAAGTGACTGCTTTTGCTATGAAATGAAGGGCCCTTATTAAATTTACTCCAGGTCATTACCAGACTTCATTTAAAATTAACTTTCAACCACTGCCCTTAGTAACTATGTATTTTTAATCTCAAGGGTCATCTGATGATGATAGTCTCAAAAGGAATCCGCTGAGAATACCTAGAGAGAATCTTCAGCTCTTCCCTACTTCTAATGAAATCATGAAATCATGAGGAGACTTTATCTCCTTATTACTGGTGAGCAAAGCATATGTAGGAAAACAATCACAAATTTATTTTTTTATATGGAGCAGTACCATATTTCATGCCTTTCTCTGAAATAAAATTTTCTTTTCATACTTTACTGGCACTGGAGATATTTTTTAAAAATTATGAGTAGAAAAGCACGGGATGAGCAGCATTTTTTTAAAGGTCATTGTACAGAACAGCAGATGATTGAAAAACCTTTGTTTCTTAGAGCCTCAATAAAAACAGTTGTGTTAGGTTTTTCTTGTATTTCATTAAACTATTAATAAGAAAAAGTGCACTTCCACAGCTTTTTCAAACCGTAGAAAAAGAAATCAGTTTACCACTATTGCTATTTAAATATCTTCTAACTGGCAAAATTAAACTATGTCTCTTTATTTATTTATTGCACTTATAAAAAGATTAATGGGGATGTGATTCCTTGAGGCTTTTACATATAACCCCTTCACGAAGAACAAAATTATACAGTTTGGCAAATGAACTAAATTAGCTACATTTATTTAAATAATCACTATAGAGGAAACAATAAATCAACAACATTCTGCACAAAAAAGTGTTTACAGAGTGTCTTGTAATTTGTTTTATCAAGGACACAGACTTTTTGCTCTTAGCTAATCTTGCTTCTAACAGTCTATTATCACATCAACCATTAATGAGTATTTGCAATAGAAATTTAGCTGAAGCTCAGGACCAGAAAAGTAAGAATAACTTCTACCTTTGTCACCAGCACAGTTTCTCTGAAACACATTCTTCTAAAAAACATTTTGTCAAAGGTTCCTAATAACTTCAGAGACAATCAAAATTAAATGGCAGAGCTTTGTTAAATCAGGGAAAGGGATGATTTGAATGGTCATAATCGTGCAATTATCTCAGCCTCTCTATGTTTCAAAGGACTTTGTCCCTATCTCAGTCTCTATCAGAAGTAAGTGAGTAGGGGGAGCTCTAATGCTGAACCTGTGATATATTCATAAATCAGGACTTTCAGAGCCTGTCACTGGCACCATAATGAGGGTCATTATTCAGGCAGAGTGTCAAAACTACTATCAAAGGGCCTTCTCAGAATTACAATCATTCTGTTTCTTGTTAAATAAGCAATGTAGTACACAAAAATGGCAAACAAGAAGCAGGTCAATTTGATACAGTGTGAGGGCACAGAGATCTCTAGAGTAATTTACCCTCTGGGAATTCTGATCGCTGGTGAGATGAATTATACACACCCTCAAAAAAGATTAATGGTAATAAAACCCCTTGAACATTTTCACTAAAAAAGCCCTACAAATTGCTCATAAGCAACTTCAGAAACAAATCTGGGAGAAAAGTGATTAGTTTTATTGTTCTCAGACATAAAACTCTTTGCAAAGATCAAAAATATCATCTTGGAAAATTGCCAGTGTACCAGCAAAATGTTACAAATTTGATTAATTTTACAGTATTAGGTCAATTAAAAAAAAAGTAAAACTCTAAAACTGGAAAGTTTCCATTCCTTTTATCTTCACCACATCATACATCCACAAATGTTCTTGAAGACTCACACATATACCAGCATGCATGCACATCTCCCATATACACATAAAACCCAAACATTGCACTATAATACAGTAAAGAAACAATTTCCTGATGTTCGTATCTCTCTGGCAAGCACAGTGATATAGTTAGAGAAAGATTTAAACAGTAAGCTTATAAATACTTTCATTCTTTGTATGTCAAGAAGGGAGGATACACTCTTTAGAGTCAAATGGCTCTTAAGCAAGTAAGTACGTCTTTCCTCAGTTTTCAGGTGAAATTAGCATGCCTATGTCTTTATATGTCCTGAGTAGTAAATGCTTCAGCCCCACAGACAAGCATGTCATCAATTAGAACTAACATAAAAATATATGAGACTATGTGGACAAGAATTTGAAGAAATTTTCATATTCTCATGAGTGAAAATTCATATAAACTTGTCGGCAGATAATTTTGCAATGTAAATACAATGTCATAAAAAATTAATTCAGATTTAAATCCAAAGTTCCACTTGTAAAAAAATCATCTGAAGGATATAATTTTGTGCAAATATAACAATTAGAACTCTAATTAAGATTGGTTAAACCAGTTCCATTTGAGCCAAATAAGGAAAATATATATATATATATATATATATATCTCCATTGAAAAGATGCTGTAGAAAAATATTTATGATTATGAGAAAATATTTCTTAAGCACTGCTAAGCAAATAAAGAAATTTGCAAATAAAATGAGGCATCAGATGATATTTTTGATGCATATGGTAATTTTTTTCTTTTTGCACTTTTCTGCATGTTTCTAATTTCCTACAGTCAACATATATTATTTTGCAATAGATAAATATAAGCCTATTACACGAATATTTGTGTATATGATAAAGACACATGCCTATTTTAAAAGAAAGCTTTGATTTCAAAATATATTAAAAGACTGTCTCAATAGAAAACAGTTTTCTATTAGAAGTGAAGAATTTCCTTTTGCAAGTTTTTCAATGAAATCGACATTTATTAGGAATGAATAGATGCATTTAATGCACATTTTCAATTGGCATTACTTACAATCCATGGAACTTCAGAGAGTCTGGGTCTGGCGTGGACAGTAATCTCATATAAACATTTATATGAAAATTTTATTTATGTTATTTTGGAAAAATTCATGTTGACAGGAAGGGAAAGGAAGATTTTTGAAGTAATTTTAATTCTTATGTTTCATCTTCATATACTTTTGTTACTGAATTTAAATGTAACAACTCTTATTTAAAAACAAATAAACAAACAAATAAGCCTAAGGAATCATTTAGCGATTTTTATATCCTCCTATTTTTTTATTTTGTGCTTATTGTCTACAAAATAGGAATAAGCACTGTCAAATAGAGTGGATTTTACATAAGAGGGCAGATTTAAAGCTATTTAAAAAAATAATAGTTACGTTTAACCCTTTGGGCTAGTTTGCTAACCAAAAAATTAAAATCAAAACCAATTAAAATCTTCATCTATAAGACACAGAGCTATTTCAGAAGACTTTAAGAAGCTTCAGGGCAAGTGCTGGCAGCATTGCTTTAAAAAGAGCACACAGATTTCACAATGAAACAAAGTAGATTCAAATCTAGGCTTCACCATTTGTTAACTCTGCACCTTTGAACTACCCAATGCCTTGAGTCCAACTTTCTTATTTATAAAATGGAGATGATTTCATTCTTTTTCCTACATCTGTGTGTGTGTGTGTGTGTGTGTGTGTGTTGATAAGAGAGAGAGAGAGATTTCACTGTTACACTCCTTCAAATTCAAATTTCAGGTTTTACTTAGGACACTTAAAGAAAACATCCAGGATCTCTTAAAATACAGTGATTTAACTAAGTCTGGGAAGTATAGCAGCTTTTTAAAAATAATCATCAATAGTCACTTCTCATGTTTTTATAATTGATAATCTCCAGCTATTCAGAAGAATTTGTGGTAGGTTGGTACCTACTACGAAACCAAGAAACCCTTAAGGAGATCTCAAGTAACAATAGAAGATAGACTTTAGTTTTATCAGTTTGTATTGTTAGCTCCAAGCAAAGACAAAGCCAGTCATTTGGTTCTCCCCAAGCTTTCAGGAGGGGAGGCTGAAAGTGGATTACTGAATCCCTTAACTTCTGTCAAACTGAATATTCTGTGACAATAAATCCTACTTGTCCAGGCTTACTCTTTAAGTAAATTGGTATCAATGAAATAATCAAAAGCAAACCAATTATGTTCTGGCATCTTTTATCCATCTGTTTGGATTTAACTGTCTTTTAAATGGTGTTTGCATATGAGGAAATGCTCTATTGTAGGCAGAGGTACTCAATTATTTAGATTATACATTTGAATAAACTGTGCAGTGGAAGGACCACCCTTGTAATGTAGGACAATTACATTTTCTTGCATAGTTTACAGATTATTAAACTCATATCAATTCGACCCACACTACCAGTTGCTAGATTCTAACCTTTGCCTTCGAGACTTAGCTACTATGAGGGTCTAGTTTCTACCCCAACAATTAGCAACCTGTGTCAATCATTTCAAATTATACCAAATTATGTAAATTGGTTTTGGGAAAAGGATTGTATGAGATGAGACCACAAAAATTTAATTTCAATAAAGATCATAGGTGAGATCTGTAGCTGCTTGCTGCTGCTTGAGGAATCCCAGATAATCTGTGGTTCATAAGCAATGGTTCTCTTGCTTCAGAATGGCTTTCCCTGCACATGCACATCAGGAGAATCCTCTGCCTGAGCCTTCCCAGCACATAGGACTGTCCGCTGCACCTCAGCTGGGCACCTAGGAGCCACAACAAAGATTTCCTTTGTTAGAAATATCTTTATTTAAGTTTTCCGGAAGAGGCATTAGGTCATTAACACATAAATTCATCATTATGTGCGCTGTTTAATAAATATAACAAACCATCACATTTGAACTCCATCTTCACAGAATTCAATTTTTTTAAGATTACTCAATGCGTTCCTCTTTTTTCTCACTTCTACATTTTAATTACAAAATTAAAAAGTACTTTTTAGTTACAAAATACTACCAATTTGCTGTAAACAAACAGAGATGCTCCTCTCTGTAATCCTACCTGCCCCCCACTGGGTAATAAAATTGGCATGGATATAGATTTTTGTCTATGTTTATAAATGCAGGCATAATTTTGAAAATCTCTATTTTATAAAATAAGATCAAACAACTTGAGAGAACATGAGATGCACACATAGCACACTGGTAACTTGATTCCCCCAATGTGGTTCATTGGAAAATTTGTTAAAATACTCTCTATTTTCATAAACCCAATTTGCATGGCCTGTTCCTGTGTCCTACCTGTCCACAAAAGGAATTTGAGTTAGAGTGTAGACCCTTGATTGTGAACCAGTTTTAGTTTTAACAGATAAATTGAGGGTCAGAGGGCTTAAGGGAATACTCAAAATCAAAGGATGATCTAATGGCCAATAGGGAAGTAGAGCCAGGTACTCTGAATTCCTTGTTTAGTTCATTGTTCTCTGATCTCCAGTGGTTCTTATGCATAAATAGACAAGCTGAGTTTTTCACATCATGTTTCTTTTATGTTTCAATACAACATAGAATTCATACAAATTTTAGAAATTTTTGTATTAATCTAAAATGTGTTCATTCCAACCCTCATATGAATGTAGAACACAAATAAGTTTTCCTACTGGGACACCTTGGTGGCCCAGTCGGTTAAGCATCTGACTCTTGATTTCTGGTCAGGTCATGATGTCAGGGTCATGGGACTGAGCCCTATGTCAGGCTCCATGCTCAGCCTCAGATTCCCTCCCTCTCCCTCTCCCCCTCCCCCCATGCATGTGTGCTCACACTTTCTCAAATAAATAAATAAATCTTTAAAAAAAAACTTTTCCTTCTAATAAACTCTGAGTTTCTTCATATCACAGATCATATTTTTTCATTTTTATATGCTAGGCTGTTAAGTATTCAGTTATTCAATTAAACAGGAATCTAGGGGTAGCCATGAGGGTATTTCGAAGGTGTGATTAATATCTGCAATCAGTTGACTTTTTATCTAAAGGAAATCATCCTGGAGAATCTGGGTGGGATTGATCTGATCAGTTTAAGGGCCTTAATAGCAGACCTGAAGAAGTTTCCCCCTATGGGCTGCTTCTACCCAAGAGTTTTGGCCTGCTCTTCCTGGCTGCCTATCTTAACAGATTTGAATTTTTCTACCCAGCCCTGGACAATCTCATAAACTAACTTGTTGATCAGATAAATAAATATATATCTCCTACTGGAACTTTGATTGATATAGGTGAGTAACCAGCTGCAGTAATCAGTAAATGTTTTCCAAATTGATAAATATAAGAAGGAGTGTTTCATTTCATTAAAAACTATGTATTTGACTTAAATTTGTCATGTTGCTTATAAACATTTTTTTAGTTTTCTAGTATGATTAAGTGCATTACTCTTAATAAACAAGACTCCCTCATGATTTAGGGATTAAATGTCTATTTTTATTTCTTTTGTTAGAAAATATATCTCACTGCCTGTCCTGAGTAAAGTGGACTAGCTTCCTTGGTTACAGAAATGGAGAAGACTCTTTAAAAAAATAATATTTGTAGGAAAGAGTGTACATTTATTTAGCTTGTTCTCAGTTGAAGAAGAACCTGGTTAAATCTCCCCAGACCATTATGAATCCCTTATTTTAAATCTCTAGTGCTGTAAATAATGAAAAACAATATCTTGCAAATGTTGTATTGACTATAGTATCTCTTTGAAGTGAAGATTTGGCTTACAGGTACTCAGATCCTGTTCTTCCATTAATTAAAATTCTCATATATTTTTTGAGAGTGTGGAGATATTTTTAAAAATTTCTTAGTGACAATTCAGTTACATAATTTTGTTATTGACCAACTGTTCTTTAGGTGTAATGACAATGACAGCATCCTCACTACAAGAAAAAAATGAAACAAAACAAAGAAAAACCCTCTTTCATAGCTAAGAGAAGGAAAAATACAGAATAAGTCTTTTCATGTAGTTCATCAAATATAGAACTTTTTAAGGGATCCCAGTTTCAGATTGGTTCAAGCCTATAGAATATATAACTCCAAGTAAAAACTCTCCTATATTCATGGGTGACAGAACCTGTGATAGATAAAAAACTAGCTGCACAATCAAGTCTTTTACAATTATTTGCATTTCCAATGAATGTTGACTGCAGTCAAGTAATGTCAAGGTGACAGGTGTGCAGGAAATGATTCTGATTCATAATGCATGTAACTCAAGGTGCATATCGACTGTATAACACTATTTATCAGAAATGTTTTGGGACAGCAAAACATTTAGGTAAACAAGGTTTTGTGTAATCTAGGGAGTTACAGGGCAATTGATTCATGTCAGGAGACATAACCTAGATTTGGAAAGGAGGTGGTTTTGAATTGAGGATTTAGGACCTGTGGAGCTTTAATTACATAAATGTAGGATTCCCAAATTTCATTAGCAATATTAATGTGTATTTTGGTTTGCATTTTAAACACATAAAAATAAGTTATCTGGAATCCTTTAGAAAATCCCAGAGACAGTAAAAAATTTAAAGCGTGAATATTCAAATGTTTGAATAAATATTGTTTTTCAAATATAATTTGTCTTGAAGTTAAATACTGGCCAATGTGAAAAAAAAAGAATCTGTGGGAATTTGGGCTCTACTCTTTGTTCCCCAAGTTCATATTTTTGTCTTCAAACACTGAAAATAGCTCTGTACACAACCTACTTTTTATATAATTACTCATTTTGTCTTTTAGTTTTTCCTGTTTGTTTCTGATCCAGCAACACAGGCAGAACCATATAAATTCTATTGTGTGGTTGAGGATTGTTTCTCTGATTTCCTGAGAAACATGGGCTTTCTTATTTTCACTATATGCTTCCCTTCATAGATAAATAGTTGTTTCTCCTATAAGGAATAGTCAAGTATTCTATATTGCTCTTATGGTAAGGATCGTAAACATTGGGTTGGAGATTGACCATTTAGAGTTTGTAAATTTTACTTAAAAGGATCCCCATGTGCTAATGAAGCCTCCATACTCTGGCAAAGGAATGAGCCCCTTATCTAATCTCACAGCCTTTATATCTGCCTCTGGGAGGTGTGTTTATTGAATTCCTCGGCCTCACCTAAAGTGAGTCCTCCTTTGAGGCGGCACAGCTTTAGCGGGAAGTTTAGTGTTGGGGCAGGTTTGGTGGCCTAGGAATTACTTTAAACTTGGAATTGCAGTCTATTCTTAATAGGATTCTCTACTATTTTTTTAAAAGATTTATTTATTTATTATTTGAGAGAGAGAGAGAGGTGGGGGAGGGACAGAGGGAGAGAGAGAGAATCTCAAGCAGACTCCTTACCGAGTGCCGAGCTTGATTCTGGTCTTGATCCCACCACCCTGAGATGGTGACTGAGCTGACACACAGAGCTGGATGCTTAACTGACTGAGCCACTCAGGCTCTCCTAATTCTCTTTACTACTAAGATTTCCAGTCTATTTACTTTCTATCAAGTACATTGGATAATAAGCAAAGCCAAACATCTTGTCTAAATATAAAGTTTTTTGATTCCTGTCTCCAAGCCACTGGCCTCAGTGATTTGCCCATCTATATTTTAACTCACATTCCTTAGTATAATGGCCCCTGATTTAGTGTACTGCTTCTTTTATTTTTAAGGTAAAATATATCATGGCTTCATATTGATTTTTCAATTCAAATTCAGAACATCAGGAATTTAAAAAATTTCTTTGATCTTGTATCTATCTATACCTACTTTCTTATTACTCAAGAAGCCTGGTTCTTGATGAGATCCAGAATAACAGAATTAAAATATTGTCTTATGGACACAACAGTCTCAGAATGCCAGTATAAATGTTATGACCCATTATATGGTTACTGAAAACAGTTTAAGAATTTGTTGCAGTTCCAAATATCCCGCTAAGGATATACAGTCAAATCACTGGGTTTTAAAGTCACTTATCATAGTTTCTCTTTTGTGTAGTTATTCTAGCAACTTGGGATACATTAAAGATTTTCCTATTCTTTTCAATAGTTAAGAATTATTTTTTCACTTAAATTTTGTACTAATTTTAGACTTTATTTTATACTTATACTACATTTTTACTAATGTATTAAACAATTACAAAATTAAACCAACATATGCAGGTACATTCAAAGAAGACAAACTTTTAACACTGTCTCTTTTGCCCTATTTTACTTCAGGTGACCAAATTTCATAAGTTATCCTTTTTTTGTGTGTGTGTGTGACACCCAAAACACAAATATTTGTATACCCCCTTTGTTAGATAACATAATTGCATACTATACACACTTTCCTCCACCTTGCTTGTAATCACTTAATATTTTTACCGATCACTTCTTGGTAGAATACAGAGATTCTTTATACTTTTTTATGGCTGTCCAATCTTCTCTTGTATGAAACTGCCATAGAAAGTTCAATCCATTTTCATTTACCTAGTAAGAGGCATTTAAGTTGTTTCCTTTTTATACTATAAATAATACTATGCATATGTATTTTCATATTTTTGTCAGTATATCTTTGGGATAGATTCCTACAAGAGGGATCAATGGATACATAGCTATCCAGTTTCCATTTCCTTTACACCAATTTGAGAGGTCAAATTATTATATAATATATATCTTATTTATATGGTATCTATTTATTATATATTAAATTCACTCATGCATGCAGTTGTGTTTATTTCTGAACTATTTCATCTATATTCATGGTAGTTTAAAAAAAAATATGACCACAAGTTTTTTGATACT